CATGCATTTGTGCACACCAGCTGAGAAGTGTATCACCTGTAATTAGTAACTATTAATAAAGTACAGAAGTTTGCAAGTGAGTCACTTATTTTTAACAAATTAGAGCTGGTAAAGGCTTTGTCTGTAGATAGTGTGAGTGCAATAAAATATTTTAAACAAAATGCCCTGGTATTTAAATATTCTGCCTGACAAAAAATTGGGGAGGAAACAGACATAATCAATTAAATTAACATCATGTTATGAAGTGACCAAGGCTAGGGTATGTGTACTTACTTAGGTTTCTGCTAGATTGAGACAAATGTTAAAAATGGAAGAAAAAAAAGAGTAAAGGCCTGGCCACCGTGGCTCAGTGGTTGAGCATCGACCTCGGAACCAGGAGATCACGATTCAATTCCCTGTCAGGGCGCATGCTGAGTAAGGGGCGTGCAGGAGGCAGCCGATCAATGACTCTCTCATCATTGATGTTTCTATCTCTCTCTCCCTCTCCCTTCCTCTCTCTGAAATCAATAAAAATATATTAAAATAAAAAAGTAGAAGAAATGTAATTTGCTTCTTAAAAATTGCTATCATTCAGGTTGAAAGAGTTAACATTCCCTCCTACCACAGAGCTTTAAGTGGTCTGATGACCCTTGTAGTCTCCCCTTGCCTTCTTCCTCACAAGCAAGACAGCCGTGAGTCATTATAGTCCTGAGATTGTGTTTTTAACTTGAAGAAACCCTAATGAAGTGCTTCACCCTAAGATAATTCTGCACTTACGCCCCTTAGTTTTTCAAAATGTTTTTCATCAATTACAGTTGCCATTCAATATTATATTAGTTTCAGGTGTATAGCATAGTGGTGAGACATCTATACAACTTACAAAGTGACCCCGAGAATTCTAGTATCCACTTGACATCATACAGAGTTATGATAATACAGTTATTAGAATATTATCGACTCTATTCCCTGTGCTGTACTTTATGTCCCTGTGACTATTTTGTCACTGCCAATCTGTACTTCTTAATCCCTTCACCTTTTCACCCGCCCTCTCAACCCCCTAGCAACCTTTGTTTGCTTGTTTCTCAGATTCCACATATAGTGAAATCACATGGTATTTGTCTTTGTCTGACTGGCTTATTTCACTTAGCATAAAACCGTCTAAGTTCATCCATGCTGTCACAAATAATAAGATTTCATTCTTTTTATGGCCGAGTAATATTCCATTATATATATGCACCACTTCTTTATCCACTCATCCATCGAGGGACACTTACATTGCTTCCATATCTTGGCTCTGGTAAAACATGCTTTAGTGAATGTAGGGATGCATATATCTTTTTGAATTCTCCACCCCTTAGTCTTTATTGCAGAATTTTTCCTTTAAGTTTCCATCCAGGCATGTCTAAACTTTCCACCCAGAGCAGGTCTTAGCGACCACACCTGACCTCTGGCTCATTAGCCTCGGAGCTGCCTGGCTGCCCGGCAGCACACCGGGCTCTGAGACTGAAGGTTTTTCTTCTACGCGGGTGCTGCTTACTCCGTAGTGAAGAAATTTGTCTTTATCTTTGTATTTCCCAGGGATGTCTTAAGGGATGGAATACTTGGTAACTTTAGCAAGAAAGACTGGCCTCTTCAAATCAAATCAAATAAACAATATTAAAATTTAATTTTATTCTAAATTCCTTGAAAAGAATAGATAATGCTTTTTTTATTTGAAAGAACATTTACATTAGAGGATTTTTTTAAAAAAATTAGTGAATGTAGTTGGCAAATATACTTTTGAGGTCCTGAATGTATCCACCAGAGAAGCACTTTCTTCTAAATATTATTAACCTTATTAATATTCTGAATCTTTTGAATTTGGCTAATCAGGAAAAATCTCCTTCTTCCAGTTAAGTGCTTTGAAACTTTTGAGGAAAAAAAGCTCTCTTCAAAACAGGTGCAGTGTCTTAGCCCTGATATTCATATTACTTAAGAGAACATCTCCTCATAAGTGGAAAAAGGTTTTCAATAAAGAACCAAATACTACAGATTTGTTAAAACTGGACTCATTGTTATATCTCAATAACAGCATGGGGGGAATTTAGCATCAACATAAGGGTTGAGTCAAAAAGAAGTTGGCTCTGCCGGGCGTGGCTCAGGGGTCGACCTAGGATCTGGGAGATCGCGGTTTGATTCCAGGTCGGGGCACATGCCCGGGCTGCAGGCTTGATCCCCAGTCAGGGGCTTGCAGGAGGCAGCGATCCTCACATCACCGGTGTTTCTCTCTCTCTCTCTCTCTCTCTCTCTCTCAGTCTCTCTCTCTCTCTCTCTTTTCCCCTCTCTGAAATCAATAAAGATATATTTAAAACCAAACAAAAAAAAACAAGTTGGCTCTGTGGCTTTTCTTCTTCTTTCTTTTAAGCTTCACCCGAGGATATTTTTTCCATCGCTTTTAAGAGAGTGGAAAGGCCCGTCCGGGCGTGGCTCAGCAGTTGAGCACCGACCTAGGATCCAGGCGATCAGGGTTCGATTCCCAATCAGGGCACGTGCCCGAGTTGCAGGCTCGATCCCCGGTCGGGGGCGTGCAGGAGGCAGCTGATCAATGACTCTCTCATCATTGATGTTTCTTTCTCTCTCTCCCTCTCCTTTCCTCTCTCTGAAATCAATAAAGATATATTTAAAAAAAAAAAAAGAGGGAGAGTGGAAGAGAGAGAAACATCAATGTGAGAGAGACACATGGATTAGTTGCCCCCGGCAGGCACCCCAACAGGGGCTGGGGATCAAACCTGCTACTGAGGTACATGCCTTTGGCCGGAATTGAACTCGGGACCCTTCAGTCCACTGGCTGACACTCTAAACGCTGAGCCAAACCGACGAGGGCTGGGGATCTTCTTAACAAAATTTCTTTTAAAGATAAAGACAGTTTTGGGGAAAATCAATACAAAGTACACGAACTAATGCAAAATATAAAATGAGATTAGATTGCCATCAGTGAACATATACTATTATGCCTATCTCTTTTTAAAATTGAGATATAATTGACATATAATCTTATATTAGTTTCAGGTATACAACATAATGATTTGATGTTTGTATACCTATGTCTTTATTAATGTGTCTAGACTTTAGTTTAGACCATCTGGCAAAAGGGCCACACAATGACTTTTATGGAACCTAGGCACTTTTGCTTTCCTGGGCTCCTTCCTCTGTTAAAAACATTTTTAAAATAGGTTTTACGATTGGACTAAACTAATGCAGTCGAGGCTGGATTAATAATTACATGTTCATTACTATTACATTGATTATTTTTTCTTCTGATTGTATAAGAAATTAACATGAAAACAGTTTTGTGGGATCCTAAAAGCAGCTTGGGCCCTGGGCCCCGTGGGCTCTGCACCTCACCTGTTCACGGCTTTTGCTGGTAATTGTAAAGGTGCCTGAGAAATTGTAAGCTTGCTGAGGTTTGTAAAAAGGAGGTTATCCTGAGATCAGGACGCCACATGATTCTGAAAAGTAAACAGAATTTACTATGCTCTCATTAAAAAGAAAAAGTGAAGTAGGAAAGGAAAGATCTAAATTGTACGTAGAGGGACTTCCCACAAAAGAAGGTCCTTGGGGAAAGAAAATGAATAACAGTAACTATATATCTTAATAAAAGATAGGGTATGGCCCTCAAAGAAACCCCACATTATTCCAGAGAAAGCTGAGACACTTTAAACTTGAGCCTTAATAAATCCTCTTGTTTGATTGGGTGCACTACCAAATGCTTTCCACTGGAAGCAAAGTTGTTTAAGAGACTACAAGTTGTTCACATGTACTGTCCCGTGCATGTATCTAGGAGGCTGGGCACTCAAACATACAGTTCGCAACATTTTCCCTCTCTGTCTCTCCAGAGAAGGTCCTATAGGCTAGCAAGTTTTTTGGGCAATTCAGGTGGGATAGTAGAGAGGAATGAAGCAGGTTAAAAGATCAGAAGATTATTATTGGGGATGAAAACTTGGGGGTATGAGATTAAAAGACCAACCAAAGGAAACTGGTAGGGATAAGCACTGGAATAAGCACAAGCACAAGAAAAACTAAGAAAAAAATAACGAGGCTGCTCGCTACCACCATAGAGTCGGAGAAATGTATGCAGCAAATAGGCGACAACTTTGAATTTCCTTGATTGCATGAAAAGCATGTGTGTTTTAATTTGAACATCATTCTGAGACTGAAACATGTTCTTGGCTATTGTGCCTTATATAAGGAAAGGAGCAGTTTTTATTGCTATCCTTCTGAAATAATTGCTAATGGAGAAAAAATATTACCTCAATGCCAGTCGAAGCAACATTATTTATGACTACCTGCCACCTAGGCTAATAGAAACCATAGCCACTCTTAAATGACTAAAACCTACAACCACATATGTTGGAGCACTGTGATACAGAATTGTTTAGGTGCAAATATATTGTGTTATAAACTACGAAGTTTCACAGAAGTAAGAACTCATGTTTCATTTAAATTTATCTTAATTTAAAGGCACTTCCCCAACACGGACAACACTTCCTCAAAATGATACCACCACTTCATCCCATTCTAGTGCCAGCTCGACACCTCTGACAGCCTCAGGTATGGTGCCAGCAAAAACCTCACAGAACACCACTGTGGGCACAACAAAGGACATGTCAGCGTTTGTAACCACAACTTCTACTCCAGTCACCTCAGCAGCCATAGTCACAACTGACACAGGTGCACAAACAACAGCCACTTCTCTCAGTGCCTCTCCTCAGGAAACCTCAGCATCTTCCCAGAACCACAACGCTGATAATAGTGAGACCACCAAACAACCAACAACCAGCACTATCCAAGAAATGAGCACATCAACTCCTGTATCGTCACCAGCTGGAAACACCCCTACTTCAGCTGGTCCTGAGAACACATCCCCCTCAGTTGAGACCAGCACTTCATCCCATTCTAGTGCCATCTCGACACCTCTGACAACCTCAGGTATGGTGCCAGCAACAACATCACAGGACACCACTGTGGGTACAACAAAGGACATGGCAGGGTCTGTAACCACAACTTCTACTCCAGTCACCTCAGCAGCCATAGTCACAACTGACATAGGTGCACAAACAACAGCCACTTCTCTCAGCGCCTCTCCTCAGGAAACCTCAGCATCTTCCCAGAACCACCACGCTGATAACAGTGAGACCACCAAACAACCAACAACCAGCACTATCCAAGAAATGAGCACATCAACTCCTGTATCGTCACCAGCTGGAAACACCCCTACTTCAGCTGGTCCTGAGAACACATCCCCCTCAGTTGAGACCACCACTTCATCCCATTCTAGTGCCAGCTCGACACCTCTGACAACCTCAGGTATGGTGCCAGCAACAACCTCACAGGACACCACTGTGGGCACAACAAAGGACATGGCAGGGTCTGTAACCACAACTTCTACTCCAGTCACCTCAGCAGCCATAGTCACAACTGACATAGGTGCACAAACAACAGCCACCTCTCTCAGCGCCTCTCCTCAGGAAACCTCAGCATCTTCCCAGAACCACAACGCTGAGACCACTGAGACCACCAAACAACCAACAACCAGTGCCATCCAAGAAATGAGCACATCAACTCCTGTATCGTCACCAGCTGGAAACACCCCTACTTCAGCTGGTCCTGAGAACACATCCCCCTCAGTTGAGACCACCACTTCATCCCATTCTAGTGCCAGCTCGACACCTCTGACAACCTCAGGTATGGTGCCAGCAACAACCTCACAGGACACCACTGTGGGCACAACAAAGGACATGGCAGGGTCTGTAACCACAACTTCTACTCCAGTCACCTCAGCAGCCATAGTCACAACTGACATAGGTGCACAAACAACAGCCACCTCTCTCAGCGCCTCTCCTCAGGAAACCTCAGCATCTTCCCAGAACCACAACGCTGATAACAGTGAGACCACCAAACAACCAACAACCAGCACTATCCAAGAAATGAGCACATCAACTCCTGTATCGTCACCAGCTGGAAACACCCCTACTTCAGCTGGTCCTGAGAACACATCCCCCTCAGTTGAGACCACCACTTCATCCCATTCTAGTGCCAGCTCGACACCTCTGACAACCTCAGGTATGGTGCCAGCAACAACCTCACAGGACACCACTGTGGGCACAACAAAGGACATGGCAGGGTCTGTAACCACAACTTCTACTCCAGTCACCTCAGCAGCCATAGTCACAACTGATATAGGTGCACAAACAACAGCCACCTCTCTCAGCGCCTCTCCTCAGGAAACCTCAGCATCTTCCCAGAACCACCACACTGAGACCACTGAGACCACCAAACAACCAACAACCAGTGCCATACAAGAAATGGGTACATCAACTCCTGTATCGTCACCAGCTGGAAACACCCCTACTTCAGCTGGTCCTGAGAACACATCCCCCTCAGTTGAGACCACCACTTCATCCCATTCTAGTGCCAGCTCGACACCTCTGACAACCTCAGGTATGGTGCCAGCAACAACCTCACAGGACACCACTGTGGGCACAACAAAGGACATGGCAGGGTCTGTAACCACAACTTCTACTCCAGTCACCTCAGCAGCCATAGTCACAACTGACATAGGTGCACAAACAACAGCCACCTCTCTCAGTGCCTCTCCTCAGGAAACCTTATCATCTTCCGGGAACCACCACGCTGAGAACAGTGAGACCACCAAACAACCAACAACCAGCACTATCCAAGAAATGAGCACATCAACTCCTGTATCGTCTCCAGCTGGAAACACCCCTACTTCAGCTGGTCCTGAGAACACAGCCCCTTCAGTTGAGACCACCACTTTATCCCATTCTAGTGCCAGCTCGACACCTCTGACAACCTCAGGTATGGTGCCAGCAACAACCTCACAGGACACCACTGTGGGCACAACAAAGGACATGGCAGGGTCTGTAACCACAACTTCTACTCCAGTCACCTCAGCAGCCATAGTCACAACTGACATAGGTGCACAAACAACAGCCACCTCTCTCAGTGCCTCTCCTCAGGAAACCTCAGCATCTTCCCAGAACCACAGCGCTGATAACAGTGAGACCACCAAACAACCAACAATCAGCGCCATCCAAGAAATGAGCACATCAACTCCTGTATCGTCACCAGCTGGAAACATCCCTACTTCAGCTGGTCCTGAGAACACATCCCCCTCAGTTGAGACCACCATTTCATCCCATTCTAGTGCCAGCTCGACACCTCTGACAACCTCAGGTATGGTGCCAGCAACAACCTCACAGGATACCACTGTGGGCACAACAAAGGACATGGCAGGGTCTGTAACCACAACTTCTACTCCAGTCACCTCAGCAGCCATAGTCACAACTGACATAGGTGCACAAACAACAGCCACCTCTCTCAGCGCCTCTCCTCAGGAAACCTCAGCATCTTCCCAGAACCACCACACTGAGACCACTGAGACCACCATACAACCATCAACCAGTGCCATCCCTCAAGTGAACCCATCAATCCCTTCTTCCTCACCAACTGGAAACATCCCTACTTCTGGTGTTACTCCGAAGACATCCTTTTCAGGTGAGTCATCCGCTTCATCCCATTCTAGTATTAGTTTGACACCTCCTACAACCTCAGGAACGGTGCCAGCAGTAGCTTCACAGGACAACACTGTGGGAACAACAGAGGATATTTTGAGTTCTTTAACTATAGCTTTTACTCCCGTCACTTCAGCTGTGTTAGGTACAACTGAAGTAGAGAGACAAACAACAGCCTTCTCTTCCAGCACCTCTACTCAGGAAACATTACCTTTTTCAAAACTCGGAGCATGAAACCACTGAGTCTGCCAGAACCTCACAGACCACCATCATTACCGGAGTGAACATATTACCATTGTCATCCTCACCCATTGGACACAATCCTACAGGGTTTGTTTCTTAGGAGACATTTTGTTTACGTGAAACATGAGTTATGTTTCTTCCAGTGCCAGCCACACTTCTCTGACAACATTCTAAATGAAGAGAGCACCATCCTTAAATGAAACCACTGTAGGGAAAGCAGAGTACATGTCACTGTCTGTAACTTTGACTTCTATTTCTCTTACCTTTCTCCTTTCCCTAGTTTGTCCACAAGTGGAGTATTTCTGACAATACCTCCATCTCAGTCATCCATGAAAACATGACTGCAGAGGTCATTCCTACTGTATGTTCTGTCAGTAACTCTGTGACAAATACCGTGCATGTCCCTACTTCCTCAATGAGCAAGTTAAACACACCCGCCTCTGAGTATCTTGCAACTGTTCAAATGGTAGCCTCCACTACCAACCCCACTATAAGCCAACATATATGAGTACTAGGAGGAGTCGTAGCAGTGTAGCTGGATCCACACTGACTTTGTCATTTCTACCTACAACCTACCCTTCGATCAAGGCCACTCCTGACACTTCTTCAGCACCTAAGTATTCTAAGAGTACCTTGCCTCCACTGCAGCTATCAACAGGCTATGCTTTCTCTGACTTTATTTCCTCAGATCATGTGGGCAAAGTTCAGCCCATACTGAGTTTCTATACTTCAATTGATAATTATTCTTTCTCTCAATCAGTGTCTGGCCCTGCAGTTTCCTGGAGCTCCACCACCATATTCACAGGTTATCCCACCCTTTTGTCTGGTACCAGCACTTTCCCACCATCCACAGCATCCTCAAGCTCCACTCTCAAGGCTGAGACATTAGGTAGGTGGGGATTCCAGTGTCTTGGTCTCTTACAATGGCCCCATTGGTTCAGTTTGGCCTAGAGGAGCACTTGAGAGAGGGTGATGAGTTAACATCACCAGTCTAGGATTGAGGTCAGGTCTGTAAGAGGGTGAAGTGAATGGAGGTGTGGTGGGTGATAGGGTCACCGTCCCTTCTGCCCCAGCAGACAACTGCTTAACTGCAGGGATTGGTATGAGTATGACCAAGAGAGAGATAAGAGGGCTTCTAGTAGTCTCTTCCAGCTCCTAGTCTGTGACTCTTTTTGACTCTGCTACTGTCTGACTGTAAGACCCACTCCAGTCTTTTCTTCGTGCGTGCCAGGAACAATCACAACCTCACTGAGGACAGACAGTGAGAGAAGCACAGCAACATCACTACCTTCAACAGTTTCCCAGACCTTTACAACCACAAATCCCAACACATCCACAGGCACACGCTTGACAGCTCCCCCAGTCCCTATCAAGCCGGAGAAAGGTAAGTGATGGCACAGAGCTGAGACCTGTCCACCCTAGAATGGAGAGGATTGAACTAGATGTGGAGCTTGTAGTTGTGACAGCTGGATTGGATCTACCAATGCCCTTGTGGTTATTTCTGTGGATATCTCCACTGCCCCTTCTGGGCCATGGGAAGTCAAGCTGCTCCGATATCTCTTTTATAGGGTGATGTAACTGAATGCTCAGTCTCAGCCTGCCTGCTCACAGACTCTGCTCTTTCACATCAGAAGGTCCTCACAAGGGACAGTGAGACAGCATCAGAATTGGGTGCTGAGGGCTGGCTTTGTACATGGCACTGAGGTAGTAGGTGAAGACAGAAAAATGATCAAGGAGCTGTCCAGCAAGAGACAGATATGCTGCCTCTGTGGGTGCAATTAGAGAAATGAGCCCGGGGTATTAGGCGCATGCAATGAAAGGCCCCCTAAGGAATGTGGGGGTGAGTTCAAGGTGAAGAGGGGGTTTCCTAGAAAGAATTAATAGGAGCTGGGGAAGAAGAAACACCCAAGCCAGCAGGAGGGCCTGAACAGCTGGAATAAAGATATAGACATGAGAAGTAGTCCCAGTATAGCCTGGGGAGGAGACCCTCAAAGCATTTGGGGTTGCTGGAAGTAGTGTGAAGAGTGCTGAGAAGTGAGTCTGTGATGTAAGGAAATCTTGTGTGCAGTGGGAGCCAAGGAACTCGTGGCTAGGTTTGCGTTTATGAATGGTGCTATGGTGGCTGGGGTGGAAGATGGATTTGCAGGAGGCCAGGAGAGCAGTGTAGAGACTGCTGTGGACTCAAAGCAAGACCAAGTGAGTATGGAAAGAAGAAGACGTAGTTGAGAAATGTTTAGGACCAAGTCTCTCAAATTACCCAAGGACCTCTAAAGAGCCTTAGGACAAATTCTAAGGGGTCTTTAAGTTTATCTAGAGATATGCCATCTTAGGAAACAAGTCTCATTCTATGAAGTGGTCTTTCAATTACTCATCTTCACTGCATTGGAAGAGTTTTGTCTTTTCACCCTTAGAAGAATTATGAGTGCCATAACTGCTGCAGAATAATTTGTTGAATGCTGACAGCAGGACCTGATTTTCTCCCAACGTGGGAAGGATGAGATGATAGCACCAGTTTAAGTGGTAAAATGAGGAGATGGATTAAATACTAGTGGAAAGGGGGAGAGGGGAAGACTCGATGGCTCCCGGTTAGGGGAACCGAGGACAGAGTAGATCAGCTGTGGAAACTCTCTGGGGATCCCTGTCAGTCTAAAAAAGTCGGGACCCATGAGAACTTCCTGCTCTTCTTTGTTCTGGCCCAGGTGTTTCCCTCTTCCCCTACGGGCCACTTGTTAGAGACTTGGAGTTTTTCAGGAGGAGTGTGGACTTCCCCTCGCCGCTCTTCAGGCCCCAGATTGGCTTCCCTTTCGGCTCCTCTCTCCGAGATTTCCTCTACGTGAGTCCTCAGCTGCAGCCCAAATGACAGGATCTGTGACCTGTGTTCCCTGGGCCCTGCTTCCCTCTCTAGGGCTCCAAGATGGCCCTGTGACTGTGACCATGACCATGACCATGATCCTGATGGAAAGGAAGGGAGAATGAAAGCAACACTTGTTAGGCACCTGCTGTATCCCTGCCTCTGTCTCAGTTTGCATTCACAGTCTTTACTGTCAGAATGTTAGCCAAGGAAGACAGGGAGCTTGACAAGGCTCGCTTACCCACAGGAACTGAAGTGTCTATCTCAGTAAAGGTCCCAGGGCCCAGTAAGCTCTCTATTGTTTTTACAGGGCCCTTTTTAAGAGCAGGAAGCTCTGCTTGGGAAATGACTGTTGGATGCATTTTACATTTTTTGTAATTATTCTCTGGTTCCCTGGTCCAAGTACCCCTGTGTCCTGGAGGAGAGCTGGAATAACAGTTGTGGCCCCTGTGGCTCTCAGTGAGGGGGGTTGAGTTGGGACACACTATGAAAGTGTGATTCAGTGATGAGGTGAGGGTTTCAGTCCTTTTAGCCCCATCTCATGTGGCACTAGCTTCAGGATGGAGCTGCGGGGATTTACCCAGAAGGCTCTGCTCTGTGACAGGCTGGCCTATAGACAGGGTCTGCTGCTGAAGCAGAACAACACCTATCACCTTAAGAAGGATTTGGGACTAGAGGGATGTCCTGAAGGTAGATTATTTATGTGAGAATTAAGTAAAGGGACTCTCCCAGCAGGCAGGGAGATGGATGACATGACCTTCTAAAGACTGTTGACACCTCTAAAGTTCTACCCAGAGAGGCCTTTGGGGGTCCCACTTCTGAGGAGCTGTCCCAAGGCGGCTCTGAATGCTAACCCAAAGAACGTTTGTGCTCAGTTCACAGATAACGGTCAGATCATTTTCCCGGAGTTCGAGTACCAGATTTTCTCTTACCCCAACCCTCCCCTTGGAGGCTTCACAGGCAGGGACCATCTAGCCGTGGTGGCTCCATTCTGGGATGATGCTGATTTCTCCAGCAGCCAGGGAACCATGTTTTACCAGGTGGGCTTTTCAAAGTCTGGCATTCAGGGTCCTCCAGGAGCTGACAAGAAGAGACAAAGGGCTGTGTGGAAGTTGGTGCACATGTTACTGCTGTTAGAGCCGGGCTCAGTGTGGGCAGGGATTGGTGCTTAAATATGAGGGTGGGGAGGAAGCAGATTAGGACTATTACATAAACTCAGGAATGCCCTGACACAACCATGAGGAAACCTGCTGGTGACGGATGGGGGTTGACAATCCAGAGTTTCAGTTTAGAATGAGTCAGGCAGGCCCCCTGCATGTGCTCCTGGATTGGGTTAATGATTCCAGTCAGTGGGAGTGTGTAACGAAAGTTCCTGCAGGTGAATGTGGACTGTGCCCCTGCCATGGACAAGGCACTACATGTAGAAGGTCCAAAGATGAAGAAACACATGCCTGTCCTCAAGGAGCCTTCGGTCGAACAGGGGGAGGTTCAAATGGTCACCAGTGGTTATGCTGTCCAAGCCAGTTTGTGCTAAAAGATGCATGAGTTCAAGTCCAGAAGACTAGGGTTTCTGGGCCTTGACTCTCCACTCCACACACCCCAGGCTTCTGTGCCATCAAATATGAATTAATCTTATGGATCGAAGGAGCTAACTGAAAAATGTAGATCTGGAAGAGGGAAGGATGTCAGATGTGGGTAGACTAAAGTGATCAGGATTACCATGCAGAAAGTGGGGTAACTCGGAGGTATTGAGCTGGGACCCTGATTTCTTTGTCCTTAATTACCTTTCCTTCCTAGGAATATGAGACGCTCCATGATGACTACAAACCGCTTATAGTCCAGCAGGTGGAGTCATGGATTGAAAGCTTTACAAACACCTGGAACTATAAAGCCAGGTGGACTCTAAAGGTCACATGGGTCAATGCCTCTGCCTACCCTGCCCAGAGGGCCTTTGGGGTGAGTGGACCCACGGACAGCTCCTCTGAACCACCTGGACATCAGACATCCTAGAATCTTAGGCAGGGGCCAATCTTCTGAAACCCTTTCTGACTCCAGGACAGATTGCTGATGATAGCATCCCCGCCCCCTGCCCGGATGCTGAGCACTCACAAGCACCAGGCTGCCCCAACCCTTTACTCTCATGACCTCAGCAGCCCAGAGTACTGGGTATTAAGAGGTTGAAATTTATGAAATGGAATTTTTGTAAGTCAGATGGCTAACTATTGGCAATTTTATATGGCTCAACCTGATCATATTATCCACATTTTAGAGATGAGAAAGATGCTGGTTAGAGAGGTTAAGCAACTTGCTCAAGGTCATCCAACTAGCAAATGACAAAGCCAGACCTGGGACTGAGATTTGTCTGACTACAAATACGGGCTCTCAACAATGGTGCCTTCCAATGGAAATGGGCAAACATGCAATCTCCTTAGTCCTCCCTTTGGGGACTCACAGCTCTTACAGTCAGAAGTCCTCCCTTGTGTCTGTTCTAAAGTCACTCATCTCTTCATTTGTTCACCAAGTTCATTGATTACCTACTTTGCACAAGCACAGTGCTTGGCATTCTCCTTCAGAGAACCTCCAGTCTCACCTGCTGTGGTCCTCCCCACTGTTCAGGTTGAGGAGACATTTGGACAATGTCCTTATATATTCCTGAGGAAGCTACATAGGCCTCTCCCAGCTCTCTGGTGTCCTGGCTAATCTCTCAGGTTTCTGATTCTTTCTTATACAAACTGTTTCTAACCCAGAGCCTTTTATCGCCCCCTTCCTGGAAAGGAGTCACAAAGAAGGCAAATCTACCATGCTAGGTGCTTTGACAGCAAGAGTGAACGGTGCCCTCCACTCCCAGACTTGTCAGAATGTTAAGCCCATGCCTTTTCTCTAGGTGGGCCGGGAAAAGATGATGTGTGTTTGGAGGCAGGGGTGTGGGATGAATGATGAGACATCAGGAAAGACACTCCAGATCTCTCACGGGCATCTTCATGTTTGTTTCCAACCAACCCCCAGACCAACACCTACCAGGCCATCCTCTCCACAGATGGGAGCAGATCCTTTGCCCTGTTTCTCTACCAAAGTGGTGGGATGCAGTGGGATGTGAGCCAGCACCCAGGCAACTGGGCCCTCATGGGCTTCTCCAGGTATGAGCTCTGAGCAGATAACGGGAAGTGGTACAGAGTGGTGTTTTCACTGCACACACACTTCCACACCCAGGGCCAGGCTGAATCCTCCCTGCTGATGTTTCTGACTCACACTGGTGCCAGTTCCCATTAACAAATCGTATTTCTTTCTGTTTCACATTAAAAGATCCCTATTCACTGCCATTCTCTTTCCTCCCCCAGAACCTGTGCAATGCAATAATTCCCAGTGCTTGACTTCTCTGATTTCCACCGACATTAGCTGACCTCTCTTGACTTCTCAAATATCATAATAGTCAATATTTATTATACTAAGTACTTAATATGCATTATTTCATTTAATTATTGCAACAAACCCATGAAAGAGATACTGTTTATTACCCATTCTACAGATGAGGATATTGAGGTACAAATAGATAATTGCCTAAAGTCACAGAGCTGGGAAGGGGCAAAGCAGGAATTTGAACTCAGACATCTGAGGCTGAAATCTGCCTACCTGACACTGGTGCCCCTGGGCTGCAATTAAATCCCTCACCCAAGGCCACCAACAGCTCCAGTGGGGTCACTGGGAAAGACAGAGGGCAGAGGGATGGAATGTAGAGGGTGGCATGGGTTCCTATGTGTGAAGGTAGCTGGGTCTCTAACACAACAGTTCTCAACCACGGTATTTCCTGGTGCTGGTGACCATTGTGACGGTCACATGTCATTTGTTACTGGTAATTGCTGTGAATGGTTTTCTCTTAGAGGGTGTTCAGTATGCCCCTGTAATTAGACTGCTTTCGCTTGCTTTTTAATGTGCCACAAAGGAGAAAGAAGTGGAATTATCTAACTACTTAGGAATTTCACACCATCCTGAGTGTGCCTCCCCCATCCCCCAAGGTGTCACACCTGTATGTGTCACCCATCCTGTGTCAGAGGAGAAAAGATCAGGAGTCACTGCTCTGAGGGAGGTACCCAGAGTGAGTCTGCAGGATTTTCTCCTTCCTGGAGCAGTGCTTTGAACCCCACGACTGGGGGGACACTTATTGCGTCAGGGCCTCATTCAGTTCTGGGGGGCTTGGAAATGTTACCACATTTCATCCTCACAATACTGTGAGGTAGATGCTACTGTGATCTCTTTCTCTCTTTGCACGGATGTGAAAACTGGGAATCAAAGAGGTGAAGTCGCTTGCCCGTGATTACCAAGCTACTCAGTGCTGGCCTCGGGAGTTGGATTCATGACTGCCCGGCCTCAGAGACTGGCCCTTAGCCATCCCAACATGCTGTCCCCGCCAGCCCCTAGCTGAAGGGAAACTAACCTGAAGGAAGCCTGGACTCTGCTGTTTTCACACCCCTGCCTCACGACCAGTTTCCGGCCATTATAGATCAGATGTGGAATAGATTAGAGCCTCCCCACCCCTGCCCCACCCACCCCTGCCCCTTTCCTGCTTAGTGGTGGGAGTCAGTGATGCTGGCTGGCTGGCTGACCAACTGATTGAATAATTGTCCGATGAGCTGGTAACTAATGACTAGTTGGACTGAGTGAGTGATGCCTGGCTGAGTGAATAGCTCGTGGACTGGGAGGAAAGAGGCCTGTGTGTGACAGAGGCCTACGGTTCTTTCCTTCGCCTGCAGTGGAGACGGGTATTATGAAAACAGCCCACTGACATCCCTGCCAGTGTGGAAGAAGTATCGTCCAGACCAATTCCTGGATTCCAACTCAGGTAAAAGTGCCGCCTAACCAACCTTGAGCTGGACTTAAATTCTCTTCTGTTTTCACTTTGTGGGCCATGACAGTCCTAGAGGGGCAGCTCCCTGCCATCCTGAAGGGAGTCCCCAGCACAAACTGACCTCCTACAGATGTAAGAGGGACTTGGCACTGCCCAGGAAGCAGCTGGTACCTTCGGCACCCTCACTCAGGCCAGTCTCCATTGGGGCTCTGTCTCCTCCCTGGGGTGAGCCAAACCCAGGAGGTGTCTCGGTGGGGGCCCAGATCCTAGGAGTGAGGACAGAGGTGTGGCAGGGTGTGGGAATATGAATGGGTAGTTAGGACAATACTCCAAGTGTCCTGTCCCAGAAAGGGAGTGTGAATCCACTGAGATTCCTTAGAGAATCTGCCAAGAGGGGTTCCAGGGGCTGACATTCATTTAGTCATTATTTATTGAGCACCTGCTATGTGTTGGACACTGTGCTAAGAACCAGGAATATAAAATAAAGGGGAACAGACTGACTATGTTGCTCTCAAAGGGCTCTCACTCTGGCAAGAAGGCCAGTACTTCAGTGCCAGGAAGAAGCCCATGGGGCCTCCTCCATGACTCAGTGTACTGCCCGAGGCCCCAAAGGGAAAGAAATGATCGCTTCCAAAATGTGATAGAACAAAGGACATTTTAGCATTTGAAATCAGCCATGTAAATCGTGAAGTAGTTCTGTTTGTTCTGTGGCAAGAACTTTTGATACACAGAAGCTAAGTCAAATCATGGGTGCCATTTTGTGGGAAATGCTGCCCAGTCGGGTTAGGGCCCTTCTGTCACGATGCATGGGCTTGTGACCTAGTGGGGTGCAATATGAGAGAGAGAGAGAGACAGGGAGTATTTTGGGGGAGAGTATCTGATGTTTCCCCTGAGACCAGGTCATTGTGGGGAAGACAAGTGAGCAGGTAATCATAAACAAAGATATTCTTTTCCCCCGGCTGGGCGTGGCTCAGCAGTTGAGGGTCGACCTAAGATCCAGGCGATCAGGGTTCGATTCCCGGTCAGGGCACAGGCCCGGGTTGTGGGCTGCAGCCGATCAGTGACTCTCTCATCATTGATGTTTCTATCTCTCTCTCTCCCTCTCCCTTCCTCTCTCTGAAATCAATAAAGAAAAATTAAAAAAAAAAAAAGACAAAGATTATTCTTTTCAAAACCTTAACAAACTGTAGCTATCTTAACAATTACTTCTTTTGTGTGGGGATGAGGTCAAATCTAATGTCTTATTATATCTTACTGGGCTCTGTAATCCCCTTCTCACTCATGGCAGCTGGAGTGGGTAGTATATAACTTACAATTAATTGAAGGCCTATTTAAAGTTCAAACCCCCTGTCAGGATCTCTTCTCCCACTTACTTCTCCCATCCAAGGATGGCGTGTGCACAGAGAGGATGCTTCCTCAGCCTGGAGCAAGTCCCAGCTTCACATGCCTATTTCTCTGTGTCTTCCCAGCGGGCCTCTGAGCATTGGCTTCTGCCCTAGCTGCTTTGGCCACTGATGTGTCTGGGGTGGGGGAGCCGGGGGTCAAAGATGAAAGCCAAGTGTCTGAGCAGATGGCTAGTGGCTGGTGGCATCATTCACTGAGATATAAGGTGCATTAGGAGGAACTGGTTTGAGGGGATTGGAAGGTGCTGGAGCTTAAAATGACAGACCAAAAAGTAGAGGACAAGGTGAACTGAAGCTCAGAGCCAGGGTTTGGCTCTGAGTTGGGTAAAGATGAGGCCTCCTTGCCCAGACCTTGTCCCAGGGTTTCACCCTGACATCCAAGTTTTGAGGGCTTTTGAAGGTCACATCAAAGGGGTCTTTGGAGAGGAATTGCTGCCAATCGAAAATAGGTCCCATCCATTGAAAAGGCTGTCCAGAGGGGAAAACTGGCATACAGAGGGTACATTTCTGAGTTTTGATTTTTTCCTAAAGCTAAAGCAGAACCTGTGGCCTCAGGCCCTGGGGTAACCCCTTCTTTCTTTGCTCCACCAGGCCTCAGGGGGCTGCAGGTCTATAAGCTGCACAGGGAAGAAAGACCCAACTACCGTCTCAGGTGCCTGCAGTGGTTGAAGGAACAGCCTCAGTGGCCCAGCTGGGGCTGGAACCACATCTCTTGCCCTTGCACCTGGCAGCAAGGACTATGGGACTTACGATTCCAGCCCATCCACATAGGTGACAACTCCCTCCTGTCTCTTGGGGCATCTCCACTGTCTCCCGTCAGCCCACCCACCATCCCTCTGTCACGCCTAACCTGTCCCTTTTGATGCACCCTCAGCCCCTCCCCAGAAACACCCCACCCCAATCCTGCCCCCACCACAGGCATCCAGGCCTGAGTCTGTGTGGCTTGTTGCAGGCTGGTGGGGCCTCGGCAGCAGGCAGCTGTGCAGCTTTTCCTCCTGGCGTGTGGGCGTGTGTTGCAGCTACGGGCCATGGGGAGAGCTTCTCCAAGGCTGGAGTGCGCAGAGCCCTTGGCAGTTTGGTATGCGTGTCCACAGAGATCTCAACCCCACTTCCTCCAGAGCTCTCTGCTCGTCTCTGTCAGAGACCAGCCCTGGGCTCCACACCAAGCAGTGGGACCCACAAAACAAAGCCTTTTGTCCCCATTCTCTCCCAGTTCCTGCTCCTCTCTGGCCCTCAGTTTCCTGTTCTTGTAACCTTAGACAGTTCCCAACATCCCTTCCAGCTGACATCTTAGGGGTTTATGGTTGAGTGCCTCTGGCCTATCTCCACTTGGCTCCATAGCCCCAGCGCAGAATGGGGACATCTTTCTAGGGAAGGGGAGGAGGCCTAGTTGATCCTGTTTCTCTGGACCCATTTTAGCAGGCTGTCTAGGGGAAGACATGGAGTCATCTCCCTCACTCTTCAAAGGAGCTAGAGGGCACAGGTGTGGGGGCAGGTAATGTGTGTCTTCCCCCTCCCTGTAATCCAAGCAGCCTCCACAGTCCCAGACCATCAGCCACAACTTCCCACTCCCAGCACTTTGAGAAGAGTTGGGCTCAGCACCCCATCCTTCAAGAAAGGAAGTTCTTTATCTCTGACCTTGTGCCAGCCCACTTGGGACAAGCCTGCAAGGGAGATAGTAACTGGTCAATGGCTTAAGGTCATTGAGCAGAGTGGGATCTGAGCTGAGGTATGCCTGATTCCCAAGCCATGCCCTTGCCACCCACATCACCCTGCCCCAGGAACCCCCCAGCTGGGTTCTGCAGGTCCTCCATGTCCCACCTCCCCGCATACACCCCTCAACACACTGCTCCTCTCCACAGAGCAAGAACTGGAGCTGCAGGACTGGTGCTGCCGCTGGAGTGACCACCCCTCCTTCTGTGTCCTGTACCAACAAAGGCGGCCCCACATTGACTGTTCTGGGTACCAGCCCCCGAGGCCCGGTGAGGCTGCTGGGGCCCGCTCTGGAGAAGGCCCAAGTCAGAGGATCTGGGAGGGGCAGCCTCTTGGGGCATAGGCCAGGGCTGTGGGTACAAGGGAAGGTGGAGATGGTTCTGGTGTTTGGTGGACGGCAAACAGAGGGGCCTTGTATACTGTACTGGGAAGGGGTGGGAGTGGGGGGAGATAATGAGGAGATATGGGTGGGGTGGGGACACAAAAATGCAAGAGGGCTTCCAGGGAGGATTCTACAAGCCATGAACACTTCCCCAGGCTCGAGTCTACCAGGAAATGGCCCGCCTGGGGGCAGGGGGGGAATCTCGCACCTTTCCCTCCTCTGCCATGCCAATCTGGTATCTTCTTTTTCCAGCCTGGATGTTCGGGGACCCCCACATCACCACCTTAGATGATGCCAATTACACTTTCAATGGGTTGGGCGACTTCCTGCTGGTGAGGGCCGAGGGTGGAAACTCCTCCTTCCTGCTGCAGGGCCGCACTGCCCAGACCGGCTCTGCCCAGGCCACCAACTTCATTGCCTTTGCCGCTCAATACAACTCCAGCAGCCTGGCCCCCATCACGGTGAGTGAGGCGGCAGGTGCCAGGCATCCCTGCTCCCCTCCCAGAGAGCCCTTGAGGCTCTTCAGCTGGAAATCGAGGCCCCAGGAGAAGAAAAAGAAGGAAGAAGGGAAGGGGGCAGGAAGGAGGGAGGACGCCACCTGCCTGTGTAGTTTGAAAGTCAACCCTGGAAACACAAGATTAGGATCCAGGCTCTACCAGCTATGTGACTGAATAGACGACTTAGCTTCCAGTGCCTTAGTTTTCTTATAGGAAAATGGCGATAATAATATTACCTACCCCACAGGGTATTGTGAGATTTCAAGGAGATAATCTAAGGAACTTGCCCAGCTCTGAGCCTGGCCCATGCTAAGCACTCCATACACGTTAGGTAGGGAAACCTTGTCATCACGCATCGCCTTCATCTTCGCCCAGGGCTCAGGTTCTAGGCCTTTGCAGCCTCCGTACTCAGCCTCGGGGCCCACCTGCAGGTCAGGCTTAGCCTTATTCCAATTTCCTTCCAGGTTCAGTGGCTCCTTGAACCCAATGACACAATCCACGTGCTGCTCAATAACCAGACTGTGACATTTGAAGACAGAGAAGGTAGGCTGGGCACAGCTGTGAGGCTTCAGAGGGTGCCCCACGCCTGGGATCAGTGTGATGGGGTGTGGAGGTGGCAGCGCTGGGGCAGAGGAGAGTGGCGGCCACCCCTGCTGTCCCTTTAGCAGCTGTGCCGAGCAGCTTCTTCACCCAGGAACTAGGTATTAAATGTCCCCTCCTCACGTCTCTCTTTCCTCCAGTGCTGTGACAGCCTCCCTATGGTAGCCCCTGTTTTCAGTCCCCAGCTAGAAGTGGTGGGTGCAGCCTTGAGGGGTGTCCTGTGAGTTTGGTTTTGGGGCCACTGGAGAAGGCGCCCTCAGGACATCCCAGAGCTGCTTCCAGTGTCCTCTCTGCATGTTGAGCCTTCATTACTGCCAAGTCTTGGGCCTTTCGGGGCCCAATCCTGGTTTCTTCCTCACCTGTCTCCCACCGTTCTAGACCAAGAAGTCTTCAACACCACTGGAGTCGTAGTGACCCGCAATGGCTCCCTGGTGTCAGTCAGCTTAGACGGGACAGTGGTGGTCTCAGTGACAGCTCTCTCCAACATCCTCCATGCCTCCTGCAGCCTCCCACAGGAGTACCGCAACCACACAGAGGGCCTCCTGGGTAAGAGGCAGGCTGGACCTTGCCTGTGAGGCAACAGCCGCAACAGGAGCTCAGAGCCTCGACCCCAGGCTCCCCCTCCCACTGTCCCCTGGACATCCCAAGCTGAGCTTCCCTTTCTCAGCCTCCTGGGAACAGAATCCTGGGGGCACAGAGCAGCAGGGAAGGACAGGGACCTCTTCAGCTACCTTCGAGGGTCACTCCCTGTCTTCCTAAAGATCCAGTTCTGGGCAGCCAAGGGAGCACTCAGGATGGGCTCTGAGGAGGGTGGGGCCAGCAGCCTCCCTCCTGCTTCCTGCACCTCACACCATCCCACCCCACCCCCCATCACCTCGATTCCTTCCTTCCTTCTCTTCTCCTCCCTCCCTGAAGTAGAAGGGTGGGCTCTGAGGTTATGGTCCATCCCCGACCCTCCTCCTGGAGGACTGAGCCAAGAACAGATGCACCAGAGAGGCTTCCTGGGCCCCCTGCTCCTCTTTGCCTCTTGAGTATGACCAGCTGGATGTTCCCAGGGAATGGGGAGAACCATAGTCCCAGGGTGGTTGACCTCCTACTCTGTCCCCCAGGGGTCTGGAATGACAATCCGGAAGATGACTTCAAGATGCCCAATGGCACCACCATTCCCCGAGGGAGCACTGAAGAGATGCTTTTTCACTATGGAATGACTTGTGAGTCTGGACTACAGAGCACTGGGGGTAGAGGGAGAGAGACCTGGGGGGACCAGACCTCTGTCCTTCATGAGGGAGGGGTGGAAAAGTGAGGAGATGCTGAGGATTCTGGTGTCACCCCAGATTTGTCCCCTCCACTCCACTCCCACCTGTGTCTCTCTATCTGGAGGAGAGGATGAGGGAAGCGGGTGGCTTTCAGTCACTAGAGCAGGGATTTCCAGTCTCAGAAGCTGGAAGTCAACCTGTCCTTTCATGCCCCCACTCCGCAACCTGAAGCCCTATAAGGTGAGGGCAAGGTGTGGGCACTGCAGAAATATACCTGGAGTCCCACCCCTGGTGGCACCACCATCGAACCTCATGTGTTACAGGGAAAATCAACGGAACAAGCCTCCTCGGCAAGAGGGAAGACCATCTGCCTTCCAACTTCACCCCTGTCTTTCTTCCCCAATTGTTGAACAACAACTTGGACAAAAATTTGGCCCTCAAGTGTAATGGAGAAAAGCAATGCATCTATGACACCCTGGCCACAGGAAACACAAGGGCTGGACTGGACACTAGGATGATCTTTGGAAGATACCAGCAGATGAACGACACCCTCAGTAAGTGGCATGAGGCCCAGGGAAGCGTTTTCAGAGTTAGGGGCAGATGAGGAGCCCCCTTCCACGATGCTCCTTTAAGCTACACATTTTTTTAATTTCCCAGGTTCTTTGACTCATGTTCTTCCTCCGTTCAAACCCTCCCACAACTCACCAGCTCACTGTGTCCTCACGATGACCTTCAAAGCTTTATTCAATCTGCCTCTTGAAATCTCCTACTACTCCCACCTTGCTCTTTCCACTGCAGCCCCCTTGGCTTCTTTGTGTCCTTCAAAACACCAGGCTCACTCTCAGCTCCAAAGCCTCACACATGCTGTTCCCTTAGCCTGGAACGCCCTTCCCCCAGACCCATAGGCTTGCTTACCTCCTTCAAGTCTCTATTTAAATGTCACCTTTCTTGGCCAGCCTGTTTAAAATTTCACATTCACCCACATTGCTATTCACTTTCCCTGCTTTATGTTTCCTACTTAGCATTTGTAACTATCAAACATATTTCCTAATGTTCACAGGTATCTTTTGTATTATTTGCTCACTGCTGTGTCCTCAGTGCCAGCCGTATAGTAGGTGCTCAATAAATACTTGTTAGTGACTGACTGAATGAATGAATGAATGAACAAAAAATGAAATGGAAATAGCAGGGCTCCAAAAAGCAGAGACCAGTGAAAAAGTTTAACTCCCTATTTCCTGACAAATGCAATGCCCATTTAGGTATTACCCTCATGGTTCTCAGCGTTCTTCCAAAGGTAAAACTCTGTGATGGTCTGAACAGCTCTGTTTTCAGATTCACTTTATACCAAGCCCAGCATAGCACTCTGATCAGGAAAGAACTTGAAATGAATCCCTTTAGGGGAGAAGATAAAGAGAGAATAAAGATTTGGCCGGGTGGGCAGTACAACCCCAGTCTGCTCTGCATAGGCCTGAGAGCAGGTGCACAGACTAATTCCTGCTTCCAGAGGTGGGTCACAGTCCTGTGAATGCCTCACACAAGCCAGAAGACTGGAGAAAGAGAGAGGAGGCCCACAAGGCAAGAGCGTGCCCTATCTCGGGCCCCAAATCCCCTCTTTGTGTTCCAGATCAGTACCCACCCTCTATCGATGGTCCCCAACTGGTGGAAGCCTACATGAGGAGGACCACGTTGATTCACTACAAAAGCAGCTCTGAGGACGTCACATTCACTCTCAGAAACAACTACACTGACGACTTCAAGCTTTTTGGTAAGAAGGCTTAGCTGGGGACATAGGGGATGCGTTGAGAATCAAGCTTCGGGCAATTCTGCATTATTATACCTTGTGCAATTTCATGTCACTTTTCCATTGGAATATTCAGGACCAGCATTTCTTAGGGATGATTCCTAGGATTCAAATAGGGGCCCACCCCCGCGGTGAATAGTCATGGGCTTATGGAGTTCGGGCCTGCTAGCTACACTGACTCTGGGCACGCACAACTGATGCAAAGGTCCTTTCATCTCAACCTAATAATATGCAATCACCTTTAGTCGTCTTTGTGTAATCACCAAATTATTAGAATAAAGTACAACAAACACATCCTAATTTAAAACATTTTCATATCTACTTTTTAAAAGGATATAATGTGGAACAAGATGTAAAGAACTACAACTACCTTCATTTGGAATGTTTGTCGCTATTTTTATGTTTATCAACCATGTTTACCTAACTTGGTCTCTCCTTGTCTGCTTTTCTGTGCTGAGACAGAGCAGCTGCATCTCTCTTTCTCAGTCATGGTGTGGAGGCGCCCAGGCCTGCAGCCATGATGTGGGTCAGGGTCAGAGTCAAAGCCTACAGGATGCAGCTTGCCTTCTGCTGCCAGCACTAATTATGCTGGTGACTGCTCTTTGCTAAACCAAAGCCCTCAGGGACCTTATTCTGAGCTCTGAGCACCTCTCTGCCTCATTTTCTTTCTCTGTGCTTAAGAAGGGACTGCTTTGTCTGGAACCCTTTGCTCCACATGGCATCCTCCGAGGGCCTAGACAATGGCATCAGGAGATTTTCTTCCCCGCTGGACTCTTCCCCTGAAGCCTGAGGGCCTGGAAGTTACTCTTCTCTTTCCCCACTATCAGCTCCTCTTAAGCTGCTCTTTTAAGGAAACTTTGCTATTTTTCTGTTAAAACATAAGACTGGTTTGATCAGAAGAGTCCTTATTGATGTGTAGCAGTGCTTCACTGCAGTCTGGTGTCTGAAGGGGATGGCTGGCCAAAGGTTCAAGAAGTGAGAGGGTGGCAAGAAATCAGGGCGAGGGATGGGGCTGCTGCGAAGGTGAAGCCCGCTTGGCCTGCAGGGCAGCCTGGGAGTGTATCGGGAGAATCTGGCCTTCATCCCCCATCCCCCCGGGTGTCCCATCCTAGTGCAGGCCCAGGAAGGTTGCCCTTTGGGGGTTTCTTCAGGAGCAGCTGCCTTCCCCTCTATGGAGTTCTACCAGACAATCAGTTAGTTGGGCTGGTGCTACCTGCAGCTTGAAGCATGTCCAGGATCAAGCCAGCCTCACTCAAGGAAATGCCTGGTGAAGGCTGAGGGGTGGTCTGAGAGAGGCGGGGAAAGTCCAGCATCAGCTCTCAGGGTCTTAGATACCAAGATGTGTCAGATGGCAGAGAAGATGAGGCTTCCACCTCTCAACGATCTCTTCTTCCTTGGGTCAGAGAATGGGACACTGCTCTGGACACCAAGCTCACTGAAACCATTCACTCTGGAGATTCTAGCAAGAAATGTCAAGAACAACTTATCCTCTGTACTCCAGCCAAAGACCGTGGCCTGTGCTTGCAAGGGACAGGAACAGTGTTTATACAACCAGACCAGCTGGGTGGGCAACTCCTCCCTGGAGGTGAGTGCTGGGAGGAGGGTGGGAAGGAAGTTTCCATTTTGAGGGAAAGGTAGTGCAATTGGAGGGATGTCGTTAGCCCCTCTGTGATAACTGTGTGTTGGGAGGTGAGTGGAGCTATGGTAGGTGAGTAGAGCAGACACCAATCTCAGACTTATTCGTGTGAGACATAGAACTTTCTTTACTGCTTATAGCTCAACTAAATTTTTATTGCCCAGCTCCCTTTCTGCCAGGCTGGTAGGAAACCTCCACCTTAGGCTTTCTTAGAGTTCCCCAGTGGTCCCCAGCTCCATGTTTCTGGAACAAGGCACTGAGATGTGGGGTAAGAAAGTGTGGCCCCTGGGCATGAGTCTATACAGATCCCAAGCTCCACACTCCCCCCTCTTCAGACCCAGGGAGGTGCCCTGCAGTTTTGTGCCTTGCTCAGACACAGGCAATCTTTCATAAGGTGGCTTAATGTCCTGCATAGCCGTTTCACTCTGGGGTCTCATCATTATGGTGCTGGGAAGAGGTGGGCTGGAAAAGGGGAAAATATATAGAGAATGGGAAAAACAGAGATTAAAGTCAATATATTACTCTAGAGATCCCAGAATATCCAGTCTTGGAAGAAAACATGTTTGAGAGTTGTATTTCAGGGAGATTTCCAGAGTCCTCTCAGTAGAGGAGTCAGAAAAGGGAGACCAGGGGGCTTGATGAGGTTCCCAGAGCACTGCCTTCCCTGTGCCACTGTTCTGGTTACCTGTGTTCTCATTGTGCTGAGCAGAGAGGCTCTGTCTTCTTGGTTTGGGAGTCAGCAAGGGAAGGATGAACAGGAAACCACAGCTTTCAGGGGATCTAGTTTTCAGGGGATAGTAGAATATTTATTTGTTTATTTAACCCCGTCTTACTCTAATAAAGATTTCAGGCAAGGAGATGTGGTGTGAGAGGGAAGAGGCAGAGCACCTGGGGTAGGGGCCAGGCAGACAGAACGGTGGGGGAAAGAATGGCCCAGGGAGGTGAGTGGGCTAGAGACCGTGTGCCTTTGGGCAGGGACATGCCTGCCCAGGGTGTGGTCAAGAAGGTGCCAGTAGATGCCGGCAGAAACAAGATAGGGACTCAGGGTCCGTGGGTTCTCAGACCAGAGGGGTCAGTTCTGAAATGCCCAGATGCCCTTAATGGTTCAGCCTCCTGGCTGCCCAGTGATCAGCAGCCCTTTCCAGGTGGCCGGCTGCAAGTGTGATGAGAACACCTTCGGTCTCTACTGTGAACGCACCAAGGACCCCTGTGAGGAGCAGTGCTTCCCGAATGTGAAGTGTGTTCCTGGGCAGGGCTGCGAGGCTTGCCCCCCGAACCTAACTGGGGACGGGCGTCACTGTGCACGTAAGCTGGGAACAGGGCCCTGAAAGGAAAAGGTTCTGGGGACAGGTGACACTTGGAGGGTCTAGGACAACCATAAGCAAATCATCCCTCTCCCTTTTCTAGCAAGTATTTAGAATGATCAACATAGGGCGTGTGGTGAGAAGGTAAAGTAGGCATGGCAGGGTGCGAGGCTGAAGGAGAAGAGATTGTATGGGCATGGGGGAGAGGCTGGGGCAGAGCAGCCCTGAGACACTGATGGGAAAACCCAGGGCAAAAGATTGAAAGTGGCCTGGAGAAGAGAGGAGACTTCTGGCAGAGCCAGGGAACCAGAGGCAAGCTGGGTCCTCAGGCTACTTGGAGTCTTCAGAGATGCAAGGCCCAGGGTCTCCGCATCCCCCCCACCAGTCAGGACATTTGGAGGGGCTGTCATGGGCATCTGGCAGCAGGGGTGCCTCATATCCCCTTTGAGTCCTCCTGCCACCATCTGTTCCTTGACCTCTCAGCCACTGGAGTCATGATGAGGGAAATAAATCACAGTGAGACCCCCCACTAATGAAATCCCAAATGAAATCTGAACAGAGGCCAGAGTGCGTAGAGCCATAGCCTTATAAAGGCAGAAAGGGGGGTAGAAGTGGGGAAAGCCTTCTGGGTCCTTTCCTGGCGTGGAAGGACTGATAAACACCCTCTTTCCTCAGCAAAAGTGGGAGAATACCTACCTGGCAGAGGAAAATGGTTTCGGGTAGAGAAGTGCCTGGAACAGGGAGGATAGTTTGAGGTTCCGAGTGGCCCGCAAGCAGAGCGTAGACTGAGTGGGCTTTAGGGGAAAGAAACCAGGCTGTCCTGGGAGCAGCTCTCCGTGGGCTGGGCGCTGCCCGCTGCTGTCCGGCATGGTGCCGCTGACCACTGCTCTCTGCAGCTCTGGATGACTCTGAACGCTGTCAGAACAAGTCCTGCCCTGCGAATTACTGCTACAACCACGGCCACTGCTACATCTCCCAGACCCTGAGCTGCCAGCCCACCTGCACCTGCCCCTCAGCCTTCACAGACACCCGTTGCTTCCTGGCTGGGAACGCCTTCACTCCAGCCATCGAGTCAGGTATCACCAGATGTCCCCTCCCCTCTCCCCATCCTCACTGCCACTCCTCTCTCTTGGAGGAAGATGGGGGACTCAGAGCCGGGGCAAAGTTCCTCAAACTCACAGGACAGAACTCCAAATTTCTCTTGGGTGGTGGTAAGCTGTAGGCTATGGGAGCTGGTGGGGGCGGCATGAACCATGGGCCTGAGTGGTCTTATGAGAAAAGACTGAAGGTGGCCTGTGTCTCAGTGAGAAGAGAGTCAGGGAGGCCCTGATCATAGTCAAATGAGCTCTAGCGTGAGGGTTGGCAGATTCAGCCACTTCTCATTTCCCTGGTGACCTATCACTGTAGAATCGGGTGGTCTCCCTGGACTGGCCCAACAGTCTCTTTGGGTAAGTCTGGGTAAACGCATGGAGTGATTATGAATCTGCTTCTCCCATCTCCAGAGCTTCCCGTAAGAACCATCCAGCTCCTTCTCAGTGAAGAAGAAAATGCCACAGAGGCAGAGGTCAACGCTTCGGTCAGTACTGCAGGTGGCTCTGAGTGGGGAGGGGGATCTTGGCAGGTTCAGGGCAGGGTCTTAGCCAACACTTGTGTGTTCTGCAGTTTCGTCATCCATTTAGATTCAATTACCAGAGGAGATGGGAGCCTCCTGCCTCAGGAAAGGCCCAGGGTGAGGAAGGCAGGAAGCCTCCAGACAGAGACCTCTGAGGGAGTTGGAATGGCCAACTTGAAATGAATAGAGTCTAGGGTCCAGCCTCTCCATCTGAGAATCCCTCGAGACCTGCACTTGGGTATTATATGGAAGAAACACAGAAGGCCTTTCACCTCCAGGAAGCCTTCCCTAACTTACCAGAGGGAACTGGGGGCTCCCTTTTCTTGGCTCCCATCCCATGTCCATTCCTCAATTACAGGCAAAGTAGCCCATGGTTAAAGCTCTAGAATCCTACATACCTGGGTTCAAATCCAGGTTCTACCACTCATTAGACCAGGTTTAATAATTACACAAATTATTTGATTTCTCATCTATAAAAACAAAGATAATAATTATACCTACATTAATAGGTTGAGTCAAGGTTTGATAATGTATGTAAAGTACTTAGCATGGTTCCTGAAACACAAGTGTTCAAAATTAGAATAATAATTACTACTACTACTACTACTACTACTACTACTACTACTACAGCAGTTTACAGTCTGGTAAAATCCGTGGACATTTGTCTACTGCACCAAACTATGGGCCTTTGAATATGGACCATTCCTAAGTCATACTGACATCCCAGCACCTGACCGTCCCTTAGGTCTGGCCAAACATAATTTATGTTCAGTATACATATGGGGAGAAAATGAGTGGGTGAGTCAGGGATCAGAGGCAAGGTGGGGCCATTCATTTCAGGTTCTCCCCTTGTAATAGGAGGTTGGGGGTGGGGGAAGGTATGTAAAGTCCTTCACTTACCAACAAACTTTTTTAAGCAGGGACCCATGCCAGTAACGGGGCTAGGGTGGGGCATGGGGATGCAGAAATGGATGAGACGGGGTCCTGGGGCTCACATTCAAAGATGGAAACGGACAGGGATGAATAGATGCATTTAAGTGGGAGGGGTCTCCTCTCTGGACTAGGGCTCACCCCCCCCCCATTACCCCCAACCATCTGCCCTAGGTGGCCTACCGACTGGAGAACCTGGACATCCGGGCCTTTCTCTGGAATAGCAAAGTGCAAAAAATGTAAGTGGGATTGTTCCTGCCTAGTCCTGGAGTCCTCCCTCTTACCCCTCACCCCTTAGCCCCTCACTCTGTGCCTCCCACACAGCAGCCCTCTAGCAACACCGGCCTCAGGAAGCTCCCTGCAACGCTGGAACGTCACCTCGGAGTTCCAGTACCGCCCTCAGGGTCCTGTCATCGACTTCCTGAACACCCGGCTGCTGGATGCAGTGGTGGAAGCATTTTTACTACAGGCCCCGCAGGGAATGTGGAAGAAAAGTGAGGAGCCCAGGAACGACGTAGTCTTCCACCCCATCTCCAGGAGAGACGTGTGCAGTTTGATGGCTTGTGAGTCACTCCTTTGGGGACACTAACAAGGAGAGCTGAGGGAGGAGGTAAACAGAGGGAGCCTGTCACAGATATTCAGCCCACACAAACCCATGGTTAAAAAAAAGTATTCAAATTGCAAGAAGCAAGTAAATTTAGTATTTTTGTTTGTAATTTCTGAGAGAAATTGTAAACATTTTACCCACCAGCTTTCTAGATCCAAGAGCAGGAACACAAAATACTACTTGATAAATCCGCATCCATGCTCACAGTTTCACAGAGCAACTGCTGCCCTCCTAACCACTGCTGCCAAAGGTTTACTTTCTTCTAATAAAATCATCAGTCATTTTGTTAAAATACCATTGTACTTTATATACATAAACAAAGACATTCTTTTGCCTTTGCCGTCCAGCTGGAGGATATTAAGTTGAAGGCTGGAGACCCAGCCCAGGGGCACAGATATCCCCTCCCTGAAAGAGGGTGATCCTTTGCAAAAGCCATATCCAGTCCAGGCCTCGACACCCCAATCTAGAAAATGAGATGGGATTTCTGAGGTCCCTTTCTGCTCTGATAGCCCCTGACTAACCCCAAACAGCAATGAGATAGGTTGACGAGCTTGTCAGAGAAGGAAAGGAATAGCCCCCCCTATTTGGGAAGCAAGACAGAAAACAGGGCAGTGATGGTGCCAAACCCAACAGAAGCTGCTCTGTTACTTGGGTCCAGGACCAAGCAAGAGCTTCTTCTAGAATGCGGACTAAGCCTCTTCCCTCCTGGGGGCAACGGTGTGAAATGCTCTGAACTGCTATGTGTATGTGTGGTGGGGGCTTAGGGGTGGGGATAAGGGAACAACTACCCCAGACCAGGCTATGCCTCTGGTTCAAGAAAACAAACAAATAGAAAGAACACCCATAGTTTTTATTATACAAGTACAATACGTTTATTGTATAAATTTAGGAAACAAAAATTAACAAAAAGAAGAGAAAAAATCACTTGTAATTCAATCTCCAAAGACAAATTCGTTTTGCACAAATCCGTATCCATCTGATTTTTCTTTTCTGCATAGGCACCTTCACACATATTAAATTTTCTTTTACAATAAAGGGATCAAATTACACCCAATATTTGGTCACCTTATTAAACAATTGTGAACACATTACCTTGTATATTGTGTGCATATTCCCATTTGATATATTATTTTGTAACATTTTAATATAGTGCGGTATCACGTATTTTAAATAGAATGCTGTACTAATAGTGACCACTAATTTAGTGCTTACTCTGTCAGGCACTATCCCGAATATTCTCATATATATTATCTCATTTAAACTTCATAGTAAGGGAGGTGCTATTATCATTTTCTTTTAAAGATAAGGAAACTGAAGCTAAAAGAATTAAGAAAATTTCCCAAATCACCCAACTATTTAGTAGTAGAATTTGAATTTCAACTCGAGTCTGGCTTCCTTCAAAGCATGTGCTCTTCACCAATGCATTTTCCATACCGTGGTGCTCACTCATTACACAATATTCCTTAACAACACTTCTGTCAAACATTGTTACTATTTAAACCATGCTGCTCTGGACTTCCATGAACCTATGCATTTGTGTACTCTTCCAATTATTTCTAAGGATAAATGCCTAAAACGGGATTCTTGATTGAAAAGGTACAGACTTGGTGTTAATCAATTGCTCTCCGTGTTCATCTGTGTCCTACCCGACAGTGAACGTGAGCACGCTGCGGACTTACTTAAAATGCAACAGCTACAGGGGCTACAAACTGGTCTACAGCCCACAGGGGGGCTTCACTTGTGTGTCCCCGTGTAGTGAGGGCTACTGTGAGCACGGCGGCCAGTGTCAGCACCTGCCCGACGGGCTCAGCTG